AGAGAATGCGTGCTTAGGATTGATCGCATTTTGGAGGAATACGGGAGAGGAGCCTGTAGGAGTGACAGAGAAGCAGGTCAAAGAGATGGGAGGACCAGACGAATGCAGTGTAGAAAAGCTGGGTAGGAGTGGCTACATAATTTTCGGGGCCCAGTGCAGAACGGAAATGCAGGGCCTTTGTTCAAAAATCGGCAAGAATTTTACAACAGAACAGAGTATTGAACCAAGAACCCTCCTGAGCCTGTGCAACTAACCCTGCAGGTTGCACAACTGTGAGGCTGGCCTTGGAAGCTAAAAAGTTAGAGAGTTTCACAAGAAGGGCAATGCCAAGGAGGGGGAAATTTGAGAACCGGCTATTGGACCTGATTCCTTCAAGGTCATGACCATCTTCAAGAGAGCTGGATAAAGGGCAAAATTCTGATTTTAAGGAGTTTAAGAGTTGATTGCTTGGAGATGAAGTTTAGGAAGTGAAAAGTTAGAGGTTTGAAGAGAGATGGCCTAACAGTTCAAGGAGCAATTGGGTTTAAAAAACCCAATAGACACAATCACATTTATTGGCTTGGATAACATGAACAGGAAGATTCAGGAAAGGGAACGAATGAGGGCACAAGGTTCGGAAGTGGTAAATATTAACGTTAGAAAGATGCTAATTTTGGAAAGTCAGCCTCAGAGCCACTGAAAGAGTGGGAGCATGAACATAGAAAGAAATGCAGGCAGAGGGGAGCTGTGGAACATAGTCCATGGGGCAGAATAGGTAGGTCATCACCAGTGTTTCCAGGATTTGTGCCATTTGTTTATCAAAATCTGCAAGCCCAAACTAACCACTTTAAATGGAAATGGATTAATTTATGGAAACAACTCTCCGTGTTTGTGTGGGATCTCAATTTAGAAAGCATTCTTGTTGTAGTTTTGAAGTGATTGGGATTTAGTCAGAATCAACTGTCTACTGAGTGCTCTCTGATGAGGTAAATTTCCTCTTAGCCCTAGCCCATCTTGTTTAGAAAAAGAGCTACCAGAGAATTAGCTCTTGAGTTCTTATCCGTGCTTTATTTCTGTACTTTTGTACTTGTTTAATTCTATTACAATGTGAAGCATTTCAAGTATCCCCACATCCCAGCTTTTTCTTTCTATAGAAATCTTTCGCAATCATTTGCAGTTTCCTATGGGAAAAAAAAAAAATGCCCTTCAGGATTTTTGAATTGCAAGTTATGAGAAATAAAAGGAACATTTGTCTAAAAATGTAAAGAACACTTTAAAATTCCCTTCATTTTTGTTTGTTCAAAGAGGCAAACACGTGAATTTTTAAACACACAGGACTATAAGTGACCGGAAAGGATGAAATGTTTAGTTAAGCACCAAAACAGTACTTTATGGTTGTGTCAGTTATTAACCTCTAATTTGTGTGAAAGAACCTTCCAGAACTTTCCCTTTCCGTAACTGGCAATTAAACCATTACTCTGATTTGGAGCAATTAGAGGTGAGTGTTTTATAAAAACAAAGGTAATGGAAATCACGCCACACACTAAACACACCCAGATTAGGAACCCGGAGAAAGCAACAGAATAACAACAAAGGAACTCAATTTGAAATCACAAAGAAGTTAAGACAACCCATTATGACTGAAAACAAACAGGTGGTGGAAAACAGAAACAGGACGATGGTAATACTTCACTCACATATATGCAAAATTAATCCTCCCTTAGAGTGGCAAAAATGGTCCCATGTATATTAAAATAAATTTTTATCGATTGTAGATTAATTTGTGCAGCTAAATAAGAGAATGCAACTCGAGCTTTTTTGATGTTTTAATTTGAAAATATAACACTATTAGCATGGTGTGCTTGAGAAATAAGTAGGATAACTGAAGAAGGAACTTGGCTCAGAGCATTAATGTTCTTGAGCCTCTGTTCTCAGGGGGCAGGGTTTAACTATTTTAGCCCAAACAGCTTTGACCAATGGGTTACGCAGATTCTTGAAAGAAAGTGCTTAACTTTTTAAAAATGGTAACGAAAGTGGATATTGTTAGAAATCTATTGATTTAAAATGCATCGCCATCTTTGCCCAATTTTGTCAAAGCCCTTATAAATTTAACACAGTCGTTTTAAACAACTGATTCAACTCCAAATACATGAATGTTAGATATCCCATTTTGAATGCTTACAATAACGTGCACTTTGCTCTTTGTTCAGCAGTCTTACTGTTCAGTTTTTTACTTTTTTTTTTTTTTTTAGAATGCGCATTTATAAGGAAAATCTGATGAATTCTGACAACCTAAAGCAGTGATTCTCATAGAATTGCCTAGTTGGGTGTTTACTAAAATTCAGATTCTTAGGTACCCAGCTCACCTGAGATTAACAAGTTTTTTTGTTTTGTTTTAAAGACCAATCCCAGGGGATTTTGATAAGGTGGTATAAACTTTTTAAAGAATTATAAGGTAGTAAAATTCAACCCTTATGTATTGGATCTGGCTCACATTTTTCATATGAGTCAAGTGGGGGGTAATTAACTATATCTTCTTAATCAACAGGAATGTGACTTTTAAAAAATTAGACTTAATTTTTTTGAGCAATTTTAGATAAAAATTTACATAAAAATTGAGGAAAATGTGTCTATCTAGCTCCACACTGCCCCCCTCCCTAGTTTCCTCTATTACTAACATGTTGTATTAGTGCAGTACATTTGTTACAATTGATGAGCCACTGTTGGAAAGTGTCTTGGCCAAGGCGGCCCAATACATCAATCAGTGCCTGGGCTGATGCTGGGAACCACGCCTCACCCACACAACTCACTTGAACAAGCTGCCTGGTAATTTCTCTTGAAAGATGTTCTGTACAGATTAATACCATAATGACTGTAATTGTTCTGCCCCCATATCTGAGCACAGGTGGCAGCAGGACTCATTTGACTAAGCACTTTGACTGGTGCCTGGGATTGCTGGTATTTATCCTGGCTCTATCTTAACTTTCCTTGCAATCTGGGACACAGTTTTAATGGCTTAAGTGCCTAAACCTATGAAACAGGGCAGCAGCAAAGCACAATACCACTAATTTATACCTTGACTCTTTCCGAAGGATGGCTAGCTGAATAAACATTAACGCAGGAAAGCTGCTCTGAGATGGGTTATAAACATGCTTGGATTTTCACACAGGTTCATTCTTTGAGAAAGACTGGGGATACACATTTTAAAGCACAGTTCCCTCTCTTAAGGAGCTTCCATTTTCCCAGCTGAAGATGGGTAGGACACCAATAAAAAGCCCCTTACAATATGATGTAGTTTCCTCAACAGTCTTAGGAATAAGCCACACCTGTGGTAAGGTGGCGCTGGAAGCAAGATGAGTGGCTTGGCATCTCTAGGTAGGCTTCCTCTGGAATATGTGACTTTCTGGCTTGAGTTTTAAAACATGAGGAGCAGTTGGCAAATCCCCTAGAGAGTGCGTCTCAAACTGTTTGTGGTGAAGAACCAGTCGTTTTCGTTTCCAATCTGCCAGGTACCAATACGAGATCCCTGTTGTGCCAGGTATATGACTCACCCTGCAGTCTGACAACACCCAAACTGGTTTATACTCAGTTCAAAGAGTCCAATGATCATGCACTTGGATGCCGTGGCATTTTAAAATCGTTACAAAAGTTTCTAAACCTTTATTCTGCATTTCTCTACTTGTTACAGACAGGCTCTAGTTTGCAGACCTGCACAGTAGGGCTTGCTAGAAATGCAGATTGTCAGCGCTCGCCCCACTCAGTTCCAGCCTGCCTTCTAACAAATTTCCCAAGTGATTCCCGTGCACGCTAAAGCTGGAGGACCTGTCGTTGAGGAAACCAGGACTCAGTACCAGTGGGTGTGATCCTTCATCCATCTGATTTTCAACCATCTCTGTCTCCTTCAGGTCCTACAAAAAGGTTCCATTTTTAAAGGTGCAATTGGCCACCTCCTCTTCCAGTTTACGAAAGTACGTTTCCTCGCGGCTATGAGAATGTCTGTTAACCTGACGGCAGAAGAGAAACTCAACACGCGAAAGCAGCTTCCAGAATTCTGATTAGCCTCCGTGCCCCGCTTTGATCTGGCCCAAGAGCCCGGCGCTCCGCGGACCGCGCTTCCTTCCCGAGGGCGCTCCTCTGCCGAGCTGCATAATGAGATCCGCGTTGCGCGGGTTCCAGGGTCCGCTGGAGATCAAAGGCACAAAAGAATCCCCCGGCCCCTCCTCCCGGTGACTATTTGGTCTCTATCACCGAGGAAAGATCAGCTCCCCCGCCGGTCCCTAGGTGGGGAGGCGGGGACAGGAGCGAGCCACTTGGAACCCGCCTTCCCCCTGCCGCGGGGCCCGGAGCTGCCCAGGAGCGGAGTGGGCGGGGCC